GCAAAAAAAAAATGCATTTGAGTCTAAATATTGCAACATTAGCTGAAGTCATACCTGGCGTTTCAGCTCAATCCAGGTGCCCTCCTTCTTGGCCTCCACTTTCTTCTTCTCGTTCTCCTTGACGCGCTGCAGGAAACTGTCTCTGCTCTTTGAGTGCTTAATATGCTCAATACGCACATTAATTCTCTTGGCCAGGATTTTGCCCCTAAGAGCGAAAACAAGAACCGGTCACAAACAAGAACTGTTGAACATTTACAAGCATTAGCAATGAGAGGCATGTTTCCATATTGACAATCCGGTAAAGGCATTAATGTGCCTCTCCAGGGTGCATAAGGATGATTGCTCTCCCCCATATGAATGACCACACAGGACACTAGATGGCCCTTATGGCAAAGTGAATCTGGGGTGTTCTAAATTAAAAACATTCAGTCTTATGGACAGCAAAAACACATTTCTGACATGTGCTTGACTATTCATTTCCAAAACTCAATCTGTTTACTGAATCTAAATGAAAAGGATCAACAGCAATTTTCTAGAAAATATAGGTGTGATATTGGCAACAGTTCCATCTCCATAATTTTCTCATAATAATTATTCAATATTTAGCTGAGTGCGTTTCAAGTGCTGGTACTTCATCTGGTTTAGGTCTGTAATAAATAAATAACCGATCGTAAAATTGTAACATTAATGCTTTTTCATTAAAAATGCATACTTCCCAACTTTTTGGGATTCTGTCTACACGGATGGCATTTAAAGATAAAAAATATATATAACATTTAATTCACTGAAACTGATAACAAAAACTTTTTTTTCAAAACAACTGTGTCATGTGAACAACTCCGCTTATATGGTGAAAGACCATGCAGATGTTTTGGATGTTCTCTATTTTGGCAGATCAAAATGTTAGTTTGCGCCCATTGAAAAAGACCATATTTACACAGACCTGTTGTTCTGGCACATCTTCCAGTCTATACTTGCTTTTGCAACTTTATATATTAGTGTTACCTGCAGTAACAACTCCACCTAAGTCCATTTCTTGGCATTTTGCACCCACGTTTAAGAGGGTAAATAAGTGTGTAAATAAGAGTATAGAGTAAATAAGTTTGTATGGATGACCAAATGTTGGAAAACTGTGAACTTGGCATGTTTTAGATGAAAATGCAGTTTTCAAACAGCCTAAAATTCAGCAATTCCTTGCTAATGTATAGAGGTAAAATTGGTTTCATATTCGCACATTTAGAAGTCACTATATTATTTACCATGTTACTTTGAATATTCGATCACAATTAGTATGCAAGTATGACTTGAAAACAAAATTAACTTTGTTTGACAGTGAACAATGTTGTACTTTGATAGTCATTGGCTGCTAATATGATTTCGCTATTTAGAGTTAGCAAATAATACTTTTATGAAATTATATTAAGGGTAAAGTCCGAATGTGCGAATATAAAACCAACTTTACCTCTATTGCTATTGTCACTCATTCACATTGAAGGATGCATGTCATTGTTATCTTGCAAAAGTCCCTAGTTCTGGTGGAACAATAGAAAATCTTAAGCACTTGATTATTCACAAGGCCAATTACTTTAATTTTCCCTTATGTAGCGCATCTTTTTTTATCTGTAGTTACGCTTGAATGGTTTAAACAATGTTCATTGCGAACATGGTTGGTGTGCATATAAAATTAATCTGCAATGTCAATTACGATGCATTGTGGTATAAGTCTCTGAAGTTTGCATCCAAAATCTAACGTTTCCCAAGTGCAAAGGTATTTTAAAAAAAAAAAGAAAAGAAGACTGTACATTGATGCATGAAAACTGCTTTATGTCCAGATTAAAATTCATACTATGCACTGTTATACTAAATAGGAAGTACTTCAAGTAGGAGCAAAAACGACTAAAAGTACCAACACCAAAGATTGTGTGATTTTGGTTGCATCCACAGCCTAAAAGGGGAAAGTAGCCTAAAAAGTGACTGGTTATGGAAAAATCCCTTTATTAAATAATTGATTTATTCGATTTATAATCAAATAAACTATCTATAGTTCATATCAGGCGTGCTCAACCTCAGTCCTGGAGGGTTGATGCCCTGCATAGCTTCCTTCAAGCTCGATTAGCTGGTTCAGGTGTGTTAAATTGAGGTTGGAAATAAAATATGCAGGACACTGTCCCTCCAGGACAGAGTCTGGGCACCCCTGGATTATATGGTTACACTTAGAAATGAAGAAACTGTAATTATTCAATGGATTTTGAACTTTTGGCTCAGTTTATTCAAACACAATTTCATTTGGGAACAAAGCACTACTGCTTGCATTAAAACATTTAACTACTTAAATAAAAACGAATCGAGTGGACTTTGCACCTAATGGTTTGGTATTTCTTTAGTCGGTCTCACTGATAAAATCATCAGATGCATCATGTTAAGGGCAGTACTTACTTGACCTGCTTGTTGACAATGATGCCTACAGCATGCTGCGTAACATTATAAACACGTCCTGTTTTGCCATGGTAGCACTTATGAGGCATGCCTTTCTGGATGGTTCCTGTGCCCTGGATTAAAACAAAAAGTAAATTAACTACACAACTTAAATGACCAGTTTAAAAAGATAAGGCTAATGTGTTTTCTTGTTAAATGCACTACGATAATCTCTTTTTAATGCTTCAAACATTGAAACTCTTAATTTTACCTTGATATCTACAATATCACCCTTCTTATAGATGCGCATGTACGTGGACAGAGGGATTGGGCCTGTTGTAGAAAGAAAAGTTGTCAGGTGTAAAAATGTTACATTATACAGTATATTATAAACAAATAAACAAAAATGTGACTAACTCACCATGCTTGCGGAAGGGCCTGGCAAACATATACCTGGTCCCCCTCCTCTTGCCTCTGGTGTTAGTCATGATGCCTGATTACTGGATAAAGGAAACAAAACAGTTAGAAAATTAAAAGGAAAGCACAAACATTATCTGAAACTATTAATTTATCTAAACTTAAAAATCAAATCCACAATACAACAGACTGTTAAACATCACAACAGGTTTAAGCCATTTGGTCATTATTAACTGTAAAAAATAGTGTATAGCAACATAGCATATAATAATATACATTAATTACATAACGACCATATAGAAAACTAATTTAAGTCACTTTAATTTATTAAATACACAATTCTCTGACATTAAATCGTCTCGGATCTGTTCAACTTTAACGTTAGTTCATTTACACACGCAGCATTTACTTAAGACCCTATCTTTAGTCTCATAAATGCTTTTATATATTCGTGTTACATATAAACCAGGTATATATATTTTTTTAGCTTTAATTTTATATCCACGTCTCTGCTGTCTGTACACGCATGGCCCGCATGGAGCAGACACGCTGAAGCTTGGCTCCTTATTTCGCCATTTGCCGCCTCCAGCGGTGCATATGACAACTTAATTCGATGCCATGCTAGGTGGGGTATTTTATGGGCACTTTGTGAGCAGTTTTGCGCGACAAGAGTCATGTATTTAACGATTTATTACATAAAAACTGGAGCACATCTTACCCCCGGTTGATCGCAAGATGGCGGGTACGGCGGAAAGAGAATGATGGGGTCCTGCAGCTCTTCCTTCAGTCCGCGAATAGGAGGACTACTTATTTGCCCGAGTAAAATTGTCAGGGCAGCACAGTGATGTCATCGCTATACATAAACAGTTTTTTTGTTGATTGTTGTTTGACTAGTTGCAATTCTTTTAAACCTGCCTGGGAGAGGATTTGAATAGGATTTTATAATTAAAACTAATTGTATCTAGCTTTAAATAAAAACTAATTAATCCGAATTAAAATCATGAATACGCTTATTATTTATTTATTTAACTTTGTTTATAAAAAAGCAGTACAGTACTGTTACTTTTGAACGTGCCCGCGAAACTATTTGGTGAATATCTGTAATTATAATGACGAGCTGTGTAGATTTTATGTTAAATAAGAAGCTTCAAAAGAGTTCATTAACACTTATTTGATTTATTAAAATGAAAATTAAATCTTGACGTGAATTCGGTAAATGAACTGTTGAACATTTAATTTATTAAAATGCAATAAAATAATTCTTAATTATATCAGCAGTCTGTGAGCTTTCTAAAATGTAGATTTATTCGATAACAAGTTATCCAGGTTAACCTATTATGTTTAAAAATAATAAAAACAATCAAATAAATGCGGACATAATCTTCTTTAATTTCATGAAAACTATTACAAATTTAAATTAATTTAATTTAATCTAATCATTAATTAGCCTAGTATATATTTATATAGGTCTATTTAATTATGTAATCCATCTTAAAGTGTTTTTTTAATGAGAAGTTTTACAGGAGTAAAAAACTTGAAATGAAAACTCTTTTTTAATTAATTAAAGTCTGACATAAAATTGCTCAAAAAGCCAGATTTAAAAAAAATCTCACTTTTTCTTTACTCTAAATTTATTTCACATCAATTGGAATTTAAATAAATAAAATAACAAATTAATTCAATCATGCCATAAATTGGAATTTTAATTATACCACCGGTAAATAAACTAGTAAAATGTTTGATTATTACTTTTTTTTCAATAACAAACTTTTGTGACAAACCTTTGTGAAAACAAAAGTTTTCAACAAACTTTTGTGAAAGTGTAAAGGTAATTCACTAAGTTGTAATTAATTCAATGAAATCCTGATAAATGAATTTACATTTATTCCACAAGTTCTCTTTGAAATTGAAATTCAGTGTGGTCTTAATGTTTTTTCAATAATTGGCATGTATTAAAATCTAGTTTGATATTTTTAATGATATATTTAATTCTCTTTTATGTCATATGTGTTTTTATGCGTAACTACAATAATGATTTATCTATTTTCATAATAAACTGAATATATATAACCATCGGTTGGGCACTAAGACCCCGCGGATCTCCCTCTGGCAGGAACGCAGTCTGTCCTCACGGGGACTCCTCTTCGCCTCCGCGCGGTGATTGGGTGGAAGATGGCGCTGGGCGAATGGAAATCCTAATGACAGTTTCCAAATTTGCCTCTTTTTGTACCATGGTGAGTAAATATCTCTCGGAACACGGCTAATCGGACGCTAGCACGCGCGTGATATTGTAATCGTTCGCGTGCGGCTTCAGTCGCGGGAATCGGACTCCTTGGGTTGCCAGTTTTCCTCTGCTGCAGTTGCGAGCTGTCTTTATCCGTCTGTGTGCCTGCTATGATTTTTGACTTGGGCCTAAATAATTACTGGTATTGGCTGGATATACGACACAACCGTGTGGTCTGTAAAACCCGACGCCAGGCTTTTAAATTCGCCCGTCCTTATAGGATTTGCTGAAGGCAGCAAACAGAGATCTGCTGCTAGCTGCTGAAGCTGAAGTGTCATTCAGCAGCACGGGTTATGATCGCGAGATGTGCTTAATAAGCGCGAGACAGTGACATCTAAATGATCTCTGTCGTTTATTTCTGTGTAATAAAGCGTTGAGAGTGATGTTGTGTTGTGCATGGTAAACGTGAGCATCATGATGATGATGATGTAAAAGGCGTTCAGACAGTCAGTGTACCTGTGCTTCAGTGCTAAGCTGTTGCCAGTGCGGTCACATCGTGATTTGATGGTCCCATCCCCTCTCTGCATCTCCGTGTCCAGTGTTTGCCTTCATAGCTTATTTCTTTGATCTGCCTTTTGATTGGTATTCACATTTCCGTCGTTGAGTTTGGGCTCTATGTGTGTCGTAATGACGGTGGAGAAATGCTAATGCGTGCTAATGGAATTTTACCTCTTGAAATGGTGTGTGTATTTCATTCTCTGGCTGTGTTTATGGTCACATTTGGATGTTTTGGGGGGAATTGGGTTACATTTTTTTAATCAGTGGATCATTTAAAATGACTGAAAGGGTTTCTGGTGCATCAAACGTCATGGTAACCATAGTTTCTCCTGTAGTTATTGGGTCAAAGACGAAAATGGGGGGTCTAAGCGTCAAAACAGTCATGCAGCTTCATATTTGTGCCCCCTGTGCATTTACAGCAGGGCCGTAGTAAGCCTGGTGAAAGGGATGCTTGTTGTTTTTCTCAAAACGTGGATATTTTTGCAGTAAATCTGCTTGTTTTCTATTTAATCATGAGATTTAAATTACTGCATTTTAGTGACATTTTAATCACTATTTTGTAGCTGGATTAGCTTGTTGAATGGTCGTCATAACCACACTTTATAATGTACAAAATGTTTCTTAAAGGTTTAGACTAAAGAAATATAAATACATATTTATTTTTTTAAGATAAAAATGTATTACATCATATGTTATTAGGAAAAAAATAGTAATCTGTTAAAAATTTTAATGAAAAACTGTAGCCTGTCATCATTTATTATGCAAATAACAAACTGGCCTGCACATTCAACTTTGCTCATTCAAAATGTGAGGATTTGAATTAAAAACAGGGTTCATATGGTCATGGAAAGCCTGGAAAAGGAATTTTGACATGGCATTTTCCAGGCCTTGAAAAGTTTTGGAAAAGTCATGGAAAACAGATATCTCTATACTTGAATATAGGTTAGTTTTCTTTAATTCTTTTCTGTCCTTGGCCAATCACATACTCTCACATTATTAGTGCGGCGTAAGCATTATCAAAATAAATTTTATGTAGACATAAGTATAAATTGGGTGTCATGGTGGCACAGTGGGTAGCAAAAACGCCTCACAGCAAGAAGGTCAAGATTCAAGCCCTAACTGGCTCAGTTGGCATTTCTGTGTGGAGTTTGCATGTGTTCTCCCTGTGTTTGCATGGGTTTTCTCTGGGTGCTCTGGTTTCCCCCACAGTCAAAGACATGTGGTACAGGTGAATTGGGTAAGCTAAAACTGTCCGTAGTGTATATATGTGTGAATAAGTTGCAGCTGGAAGGGCTTACGCTGCGTAAAATATATGCTGGATAAGTTGGCAGTTCATTCAGCTGTGGCGACCCCAGATTAATAAAGGGACTAAGCCAAAACGAGAATTAATGAATAAATAAATATAAATTTAAAAAACTAAATTGTTGCGTGTTTTACGACATGCTGTATTGAATTCTAACATGTATTGTTTTTTACCACCCTTATGTAGACATTGCATGAAACATTAGGTCATAAAAATTAACTTGAAAGTCTTGGAAAAACCATGGAATTTTAGTAGTTAAAATGTGTATAAACCTTGTAAAAAATGTTAACATAAAAATAATAACAATAATAGAAATTTTTCGAGTCTCTCTTTAAAAAAGTACATTTGAAAGTGAATGAATAACAACAATAGCCATATTAATAAGCCTATGCAAATCAATTTTAATATGGGCCATTAGTTTTGGTCCTTTATATTGTTAATTTTCTATTTCAAAAATAAAGTCAAGGATTAAAAGGTCCAGAATAAAAGTTACTTGTAAAATATTGTTCTATTTGCAAACAACACAGTAGCGAAAGATGACTTCTTTAAGTCAGATTGGATGTTTTCTTGCACAGCTGTATGTTGCTGGACTCATGAAAAAGCATCGTTTGCATTGGCAAAAACTGATTAGCTGAAGTCACACTGAAGTGACAGTCAACAGAGGATTCGGCTTGGTCTTCAAGCCTTTTTTGATGGGTTATTTTCACAAATTATGATGGCACACGGGTGCACAATATATCGTTTCAGCATCGATATTGCAATGTGTGTGTCCCCAATAGTCACATCGCAGGAAATGCAATGTAATTGATCAGCACAAAAGTTGATCAGCACAAAAATTGCAAAGTAGAACCATAACAGAGTGAAACTTTGAAGTTTAAAGCCATTTCAGGGGAGTTTAAAGTATTTAGGCCAAAAGTACATTTGTAACTTTAATAAAGAATACTTTTATTGAATTAATACAATGAAGACTATGCAGTATTTGCACATGAATACTGTTTGACTTTTGGGAAAACCATAAAGCACTGTTTATTTTAGGTTTTTCATTGCTCCACTGTAACTATTTTGCTTGCAATTTGTTTATTATTTTTTAATACATGATTTACACCCTTACAACATCACCCCAATCAAAATTAATGATTTCTTTTCAAAAAGAGCTATTCAAGCCATATGTTAAAATTGTACTCATTCATTCATTCATTCATTTTTTTTGTTGGCTTAGTCCCTTTATTAATCCGGGGTCGCCACAGCGGAATGAACCGCTAACTTATCCAGCATGTTTTTATGCAGTGGATGCCCTTCCAGCCGCAACCCATCTCTGGGAAACATCCACACATACACACACTCAATAACTACGGACAATTTAGCTTACCCAATTCACCTGTACCACATGTCTTTGGACTGTGGAGGAAACTGGAGCACCCGGAGGAAACCCAAGCGAACATGCAAACTCTACACAGAAACGCCAACTGAGCCGAGGCTCGAACCAGCGACGTTCTTGCTGTGAGGCGACAGCACTACCTACTGCGCCACTGCTTCGCCAAATTGTACTCATATTGCAATATATATCACAGAAAAACAAAACATTGCAATGTCAGATTGTTTAAACATTGTGCAGCTCTAATGGCATAGCTCTCAAATGAGCTCATGTATGGGACAAATTCTGGACTTTTGTCAGTTAAGGGTGGGTCTTTCGAACCAACCGAACCCCTTGGCTATAGGCCTGTAAAGGTGTCCGGTTAAATCAAGTTTTTAATTTACTTCTGAAAAAGTCTATCATCATACATGTACTTTTATTACAGATAAAATGTAATTTAGTGTAACAATAATTTATAAGAACTTGTCAGGCAAATTTAATTTTAATGAAGGCAATCAATTGGTGTGATTATTCCAATGAATTATTATTGGTTATACTTATGTTTTAAAAAGATGCAGAATAAGTAAGTTTGTCATCAACTTAAATTTGTTGTTATGTAGAACTAGGGCCTGTTTCAGAAAGGAGGTTAAGTGAAAACTCAGAGTATTTTAACCCTGAAATGAGAGAAACTCTGGGTTTTCAGTTTCAAAATGGCAGGTTTATTAACCTCAAGAAAGCAGGGTAAGTCAAACCTGTTTCTGAACGAGATGTTACTTTAACTCAGAGTCAGTTACCGTGGTAATTTACTCTGTGAACCTAACCTGGTCGGGAGCAGGTTTTGTTCTCCAAACTCAGAGTTTCTGACGGTCTCCTCCCCTTAGCCTTACGTTTCCACCCACCTATTTTAATGCTCATTTTGGAGATGCGCATAAAAACAATTGATGGAAGCATCATGATGCACATGGTCTTATGATGTGTAATGATCAGTCTGTGCAACATTATTATTACATTTAATTCACAGCCTTAGCATATGGTTCGAAGTGTGTTCACAACAATCTGAACCTATATAGAAAAGTTACCATGTAGGTTTGGGCTGCACATACATCATTAAACATCAGGAAGCTTGAGCTCCAGCCTGTCATGAATGCACTCAGGCTGTGATTTAAAGGCAATAATGTTATAAATGATTCAGATTTGTGCACATTTGGCTTCATAAAACCTAAATGTATTGTCAAGAGCCATGGGATTAATTTTATGTGGCCTGTATAGGGTTTTGACTCTCAAAGTGCAGTTGACTTGCATTATCCTTAAGGACTAGTTTAATATGCAAATATGAAAAAAAAGTTTCCTACATCTTGGATGACCTATGGGTCAATTGATTAATTTATTAATTCAATTAAAAAAAGGGTTGCTTATATGAACATGAAAAAAGTTGAATTGTATTAGTAACAACAGTAACTGTGTGGTAAAACTTGTGGTTTAGATTTTAGGGCTGCACAATGTGCCCAATATTGGAAAAACTGACATTGCGACACATCATTTTCTGTGATACTGTACATATTGCGATACTGAGTATATGTTCACCAGATGACTGGACTAGCTATTAACTTTATGGAAAGAATTCATCATTTTTCACTAATTGTGATGGTTTTGTAAGGTAGAGCATCTGCATAAAATGTAAAAAACTAGAGCTGCACGATATATCGTTTCAGCAGTGATATCTCAATGCATGCATTCGCAATAGTTACATCTCATAGATATGCAATGTTGAGGTGGGATTACATTTTCGCACAAGTCAGAGTTCAGAAGACAAGATTTTGTGGAGTTATTCCAGTGTTTAACCTTAATGGAGTGAAATTGCATCTTTTTAAGGCTTGAGAGAGATTTAAGTATTCAGGCAAGACATTTTACCAATAAGTAGTGTAATAAAGAATAATCACAAAGTATGCACTGCTTATTTCACCTTTATCTTTGCTTTATTGTATTTATCTTGTAATTTATTACATTTTATGAATGATTCGTTCCCTTACAGAACCATCTCAATCAATCCAAATTAATACATTTGTTAACACTTTAGGGACCAATTCTCACTATTGCCTAGTTGCTTGTTGGTTCATTGGTTGCGATTTTGACTGCTTGTTCGAACTTAAAAACTACATATTCTGTATGATCTTATTCTGCCTCCCTAACCCAACAGCTAAACTACCTTAATATCTATTAATAAGGAGCAAAAAAGGAGTTTATTTAAGCAAAAGTTAGTTAATGATTTGCTAATAGTGAAAGTTTGACCTTAAAATAATGTGTGACTTTTTTTTTTCAAATAGTGCTACTCAATCATTTGTTGAAATTGTTCAGATACAGTATATCACAATATATATTGCAGAAAAATAAAATGTTGCAATGTCAGATTTTTCCATTATCATGCAGCCCTATGATAAACCAATCACAAGTATTGATAAATAAAGTAGAGCAAAGATGCAAGTGATCAAAACAGGGCTTTATGGTTTTCTGGGAGTCTAGCAGTATTCAGGTATAGTGTTATCATGATACTGGAATTTATAATGCAATACAATACCTTAAAAGATATCGATATATTCGATTTTCAATACCGTGGGTTAGGGCAGCATGATATTGGAAAAATCGGACATTGCGATTTTAGTTTTTCTGTGATAGAAGACATTGTGATACCATACAATTTCCCAGATGACTTGAAAAGTGCTGGAAGGAAATTTTTAAATAAGATTGATTGGGATGGGAAGTTAATTATGCATATAAAGTAATAAAAAATTACAAGCATAGATAAATACAAAAGTGCAACGACAAAAGTTTGATCAAATAATGTTTCATGCTTTTCAGGGCAGTCAAATAGTATTCAGCTACAGAGTTTGAATAATCAATGTAAAAAAAAACTGCGAAAGTCTTTACTGTATAAATAATTCAATAAACTTATATGTCATTAAAGTTTAAAGTTAGAAAGGGTAAAATTTCTTGTGCCTGAATACTTTGAACTGTCATGCCTTGAAAATATGTGCAAATGAGAAACTTTGACTTCATTATGGTTCAACTCTGCAATATACACAATTCTCATGTGTTCTGAATTCTTTCTCCTGGTCAAATATAATCATAACTCAACATTGCAAATCCTGCGTTGTGACTATTGCTGATGTGCACATTGCAGTGTTGATGCTGAAACAATATATCGTGCAGCTTTATCATGGGTAACCAATTTTGCAACATTAAAAGTAATCAAATGAAGTTAAAAGGGAAAAACAGCTAAACCACATATAATGCTTATACTAAGTACATCAGCAGTCCTAAAGTCCAAAAGGCAATACATTACAAAAAAACTAAATTAGTGCAATCTCATCTTATTTTCTGATGAAAACAACGGTGTTAAAATCTTATTATTATTATTATCATTATTATAATGAATTATTATTTATCTTCCTGCTGGTAAAAAAGAGAGTGCAAGAGAGCTAAGCCAGTATCGACCAAAAGCACTATTTAGGTTCACAAATTAAATCATCAAATATAAAACAAACACTGTATAGTCTTCATTGTGTATGTGTATTAGGCATGGGACGATAACCGCTTTCAAGGTAAACTGCGATTTGATAAAGAAAATTTTTTAAAACCTCTAAAATTTCCTGTAATACCGTTTCTAAGGTATGATTAAGATTTTTTTTTATTTATGTTTTTTTGTGCGTGTTTTAGGACAACAGTATCTCCTGCAGAAAAAAAAGATTGTAAAGAAATTTGTGTTTTTGAAACAAATTAAGACATAAGTCAATGATTCATATAAATTATTTAGCCTGACATGATTACTGCTCCAAAATATTATAAATGTTTCTCAAAATAAAATATTTTATGTTCAAAGGGGAAAAAAGTTCTTGTTTTTTACCCAATAAAAAAGAACATATTTTAGGCAGTAATCGCAAAAATAATGAAATCGTGATATTTTTATCTAAGGTTTTCATACCGTCAGAATCTTATACCGGCCCGTGCCAAGCATATATATATATATATATATATATATATATATATATATATATACACATATACACACAGTTGAAGTCAGAATTATTAGCCCCCCCCCTGAATTATTAGACCGCTTGTTTATTTTTTCCCAAATTTATGTTTAACAGAGAGCAGATTTTTTCAACACATTTCTAAACATAATAGTTTTAATAACTCATCTGTAATAACTGATTTATACAGCTTAAAGTGACATTTAAAGGCTTAACTAGGTTAATTAGGTTAACTAGGCAGGTTAGGGTAACTAGGCAAGTTATTGTATAACAATGGTTTGTTCTGTAAATTATCAAGAAAAAATATAGCCAAAAGGGGCTAATAATTTTGTCCCTAAAATGGTGTTTAAAAAATTTAAAACTGCTTTTATTCTAGTTGAAAAAAAAAAAAAAAGACTTTCTCCAGAAGAAAAAATATTATCAGACATACTGTGAAAATTTCCTTGCTCTGTTTAACATCATTTGGAAAATATTTTAAAAAGAAGAAAAAAATTGAAGGGGGCTTATAATTCTGTCTTCAACTGTGTATATATATATATCCTTTTAAATGTATATTTTTAAAGTCCCAAATATTATGATGTCTTGTGCCAGAACTGACTTGAATTGCTCACACAGACACAAGCCCTAAAAATTCTTTCCAGCAACTGTTTAAACTTTGTTCATTGATCTTTTTAGCATTGATATTGCACTTTAAAGCTTCTGTAAAAGGCTAACACTGCTCACCTGTTCTGTTTTAGGGCGCCAATGCCTCCGCTTTGGAGAAAGAGATCGGCTCGGAGCAGTTCCCAGTCAACGAGCATTACTTCGGATTGGTCAACGTAAGCGAAGCCTTTCCAAACACTCCAGTTTCTCCAGACGTCCTGTATTAATCATGCCCTGGAATCAACATGTGTGTTTTTATCCACAGTTCGGAAACACCTGCTACTGTAACTCTGTGCTCCAGGCTCTGTACTTCTGCCGGCCGTTTCGGGAGAAGATCCTCGCGTACAGGAGTCAACCGCGCCGCAAGGAGAACCTGCTCACCTGCCTGGCTGACCTGTTCCACAGTATAGCCAACCAGAAGAGGAAAGTTGGCGTTATACCGCCGAAGAAGTTCATTACGCGACTACGGAAAGAGAATGGTGAGATAGAAGGGATTGGATTTTAATTAGTTTCAGTGTTATTTCTTAGTTTAAGAATGGATTTAGATGTTGGCACCAATAGCTTTGTGGCTAGTGAGTCAACACATTGACCTTATTCTTCACTTAAAATTTGGCGCAGCTATTGGAATCTTTTTGGCTTCACACTTCCGGTCTCATTCACTTGCATTGGTTTTTAAACATTAAAAAAAGCTAGTGGTGTTGCAAACTGATATTTTTAAATTATATTGTTCTACTTTTTATGTATAGTCATGAACACACTTGTTTGTAGAGCAAGCAGTTTGATAAGTTGCTGGTGTTAATTATTCCTAGTCATTTTCACCATACATAACTGAAATGGAAGTTCTAAAACAACTGCAAAAACAGCACACTTCCACATTGGAGAATAAAGTTAATAACACTGGCTTGGGGTACTTTGTTGATCTCTTTCTCTGCCCCCTAATGCTTTCCTTTCTCCCTCGCCACTGTCCTGTCTAATAAAGTATAAAAAAAACTACGATATAATTATTTAAAAAAACATGGCTTTAGATACTAGTTCTAGGTCATAGAAACTAAAGAGTTATAGTAGCATCACCTTTAAATAAACTATTTATATCAACACGCTCATGGCAGTTCCTAACTGCTTTATGCTTGTGGATGAGTCATATGTATTTGTGCATTCATACTTTGTTGTGTGTTATGGTATGATCTGCTCATGTCCTTAGTGATCAAAAAAAGTCAAAAGACAAATTTAAGCGAATGCCCCTTATTAGCTTTGAATTTAATTTATTACAACTGTGGTCATTTTTAAACCTCAAAATAATATTTTTTATATTTAAAATGGTAGTTTTTTGGTGCCTTTTTTAAAAATTATAATTCTAGTTCATTTTTTATTTGTATTTCACTGAAATAATAGTTTCTAATAACAAGCAATTAATTTGTTACAACCTTTATTAACGGTTATTATTGTTAAATACATAGTTTTATAATAGAATTATTTTTAAATGCTAAAAACAATGGTTATTAATTATCGTTTAATAAGAATTGTTAATGTCTTGTTAGTTAGCAATAATGTTAATGAATAGATCTGCAGAACCTTAATATATTAAAAGTTTTTTATAAACTATGTCAGAGTTGTAATATCTTCCATCTTTTTTGTGGACACACATATATATTAGTATTACAACTCGTGTCTCTTTATCATTTACACTTGTTCATTGTAGTTAAGTGAAATTCAAAATACACATTTTAAAGATTAAATAAGTACCCCCCCACAGAATTCATACAAGCACAATTTCTTTCTATGTCAATTACACTATTCTTTCTCACTGCAGAACTGTTTGATAACTACATGCAGCAAGATGCACATGAGTTTCTCAACTACCTGCTGAACACTATAGCAGATCTGCTCCAAGAAGAGCGCAAACAAGACAAGCAGAATGGCAAGCTTGCCAACGGCACACTCGATTCCCAGAACAATAACAGCACCCCACCCTCCACCACCTGGGTTCATGAGATCTTCCAGGGCACGTTGACCAATGAGACGCGATGCCTCACCTGCGAAACGGTAAAGACACCTCACGCAACATAACTGAATTCCCTCTTGTCCAATCAGAAGGTGTCCTGATAACTCTGCTGACTGTGATTGGCTGGGCTTTTATCTGAGGTGTGTCTTTGGACTTTGTTCTCTCACAGATAAGCAGCAAAGATGAGGATTTCTTGGATTTGTCAGTGGACGTGGAGCAGAACACTTCAATCACGCACTGTCTAAGGTCTGAAAGCACATTCACACTGAGACCCTGTGGCACTGGGCAAAAACAAAAAGAAGATTTTTCAGTTTGTAGTTTTAATCAAAAGTGGTTGACTCAATATTGAGTGTGGGATGCGAGAGAGCATCAGGGGAAGTGTGGTAATATTAATGTAAATCCACTGAGATTTTTCTATCTAGTTTGTCTGTAAATCCATGCAGTGCAGTACTGCTTATATACATCAAAGCTGCAAAGAGCCATGGATGAGCAAGTAAAAGGGTGTAACATGTCTGATGAATAGTTCAATTCAAGCACATCTTTCTGTGGCACAAAGCATCAAGCAGAAAGAGAACATCATTGCTCAAGAGCTAGGGCTGCACAACATTGGAAAAATCTAACATTGCGTTTATTTATTTTTTTATTTCGCGATATATATATATATATATTTTGCGAAATGAATACAATTTCACAAGATAAGTTGAATAACAATTGGAAAGAATTAATCATTTTAGATTGACTGATATGATTGTTTAGGGGAGGGCATAAAGTATAATAAACAATCTACAAGCGTAGATAAATTCAATAAATAAAACTAATTTAATAAACAGCATTTTATTGTTTTCTGAACTGTTTCAGGTATACATGAATTGAATAATCAAATGTGATATAACACCTACACCAAAAAAACTGAAAACTCACATCACGTGACCACACACACACACTTTGGCATGCACTGCAGCCTATCTACCCAGATGAGAGCTGTGCTCAAAGGAGTGTTCATCAAGGATCTCCCGCTGGATCTAATCTCAGTATATTTGCTAAACGTGATATTTAATTCATCTTGTTGTCTCTATCTAACAACATATTCCCCAACTTTGGTCTTTTGAATCTGTTACTTGTTCTCAGGTAACGTGTTTTGGCTGAGCGCAAAGATAAGTTAATAATTCTTACCACGTACATTCTGTATATTGAGTAATTGCTTGCCTTTATTTCCTATAATGTATAAACTTATTGTACGTTATACTTTTATCATGGCCATTATTTATTATTAAAACTGATATTCAGCAAAAGAGAGGGCATGTTTCGTATTTTCAATGAACATGAAAAGAGGCAGTGATGTTAGGCTCCGTCTTGTTATGAATACGCATACAGTGAAGATGACGCTCATATATGCAGCACAACCCCTCTACATTTCTGCTGTCTGTTAAGTTGTTAATATCAAATAGCAAATCCTTCATGTTTTTATTTATTGTAAAGAAAGTGAAATAATGTGGCCAGAATGATGTGAAGAAGATTACAAAGTAAACTGTTCCCTTTGAAGATTCACCGACATTTCACTGAGTTTTCCATATCAAACTGTTTTCCCCCATTCACACTGAGACGAAGCAGCAGCGTTTTAGGATGAAAACGGCCTCTTCAGCGTTTCCAAAACGCACCGTTTTCGGTGCTCGAAAACTCCGGTGTAGTGTGGACGGATGGCGTAACCGTAGCAAAACTTGTGCAGTTTCAAACTAAAACGCATTAGTTTAAACGGGGCCATAGACAGCACCAAGCTCTCTCTCTCCTTCACACATATAGACAGCAGCAAACAAGATAAACACAGCATCACACTCTCTCATTCACACACATTCATACGCCTGCTCACTCGCTTGGGAGGCGGGAGCAATATTGTTAGACCGCCCACTCCAGTTCAAATTACACCAGTTACCGTCCACTCGGTAACATCGTCTACTTCTCCTTAAATACTTTAAAAAAATTAAGGTTGTTCATAAATGACAAATCATCAGTATTTTCAATTACATAATACTCTTTTTAGATTTCAAACACTGAAATATACATTAGTACTAGCAATGCAACCATTTACAGGCCACAAAAAAAAAAAACAGCTGTTGTCTGTAAAAAACAGCAATAATCATGCTTTATACAGTATACACATTGTGTACATAATTAGTCATTTTGTGCTATGCATAGTTGTACTTTTGCGCATCCGGGTCAGTTTTGAACCACGATCTATTCATACTGGAAATCTGACATTGGCCACATTTCTAACAACAATGTGAACATCTATGCAAAACAATGAGATCTGAGAAAAAAAATCTGAATTGAGCATTAAGCCTCGCAGTGTGAACGTAGCCACAGTCAATAGCCCCAAAAAACACTTGACAAATAATAAATTACTTTACAGACTGTGTATACCCAAGATGTGTATTGCGAAAGATCACATTGCGATATCGATGCTGAAACGATATATTGTGCAGCCCAAGTGAGAGCTGAGTTCACCTAACTTTTGCATCTTATTGCAACTTCTTATTGCCCGTCTTGCTGAGAATTCATGCAAATAGTCAAGTATAAAGAAAAAACAATTCAGACACAATATAATTTCTTAGGCTGTTTAAATGACACGATAGCCAAAAACTGAAAGGTTTGTCATATGCGTTTTGAAAAACATTTACACAACATTTTGAACATTTTTGAAATGATCTGTGTTTACGCATGTCTGTGAAAATGGACAAAACGCTGTATTAAGTACATACAGTATGCTGTATTTTCTGCTGTCACCTTGTAAGTAATCAGTACTTGTAGGGAATTAACAATTTTTGTGTATAATTTGTTTGTTTGCGTGTATGCGTGCAAGATGCATCTCTACTTTTAGTTGTAATGTAAAGTAAGTCCATGGCCCATGGTAACCTTTGATTTGGCCTGCCACCCCATCTGAGAGGAAGAGTGATGGGAATGGTTTAGAGATTCAAATCTAATGTAACCTTTTGTTTGATTTGTTGAAAGCTATCTGTAATTAAATGTTTCAATTAAATATTGTAATTTAATCAGGTTTAGTTTAAATGTACGTACTGGATGGAGGACAAAGCAATTGGTGAGCAAAATAAGGGCAAAGGCAGATTATGCTTGACTAATGTATTCAGCATTAAACTCCACTGTTATCAGTTGCAATAAGTCATCATTTTAAAATTAATTATGCATTAGTTATTATGATTTAAGTCATGTTTTAATCTGTTTTTAAACATTATGAAATAAATGATTGAATCATGAAATTACCCATGGCAACTTTAATGTAATATAGTTTGCTACATTTACCTTCAGCCCACAGATATTTGTCTTTTGGCCCTTCAGAGGAAAAAGTTTGGGCACCCCTCATCTACACTCTTCTAAATATGTACAATGCACGTGCATGGCATAATTTTTAAAGACTTTTGTTTTAGTTGTTTATGCGCACACAAGAAGAGTGACATTTTTTTTTAAATAAATAAAAAATGTATGCGTTTAAAACAAATGTAATATATTTTCAGTCACAAAAACATCTTTGTCATGTAAACGAACAGGCAAAATGTAAAAAAAGTTCCTGTTTTTGGCTGAAAATGTAGTGTAAACGGCCTCTCAAAGCGACAGCAGATTAATAATATCCTGTTTATGCTGTTAAAATGAAAACATTTACCTCCTTTGACTGAATGAGTTTATTAATACATGTAAAATTAATTACGTTTATTTAGAATCCATGTACGTATATCTATACATGTGTCTATATATAAATATATAAAATGAGAGTTTTATTGTACCCATGCAGCTAAAATCATCATGAATATCATGACTTTGTGAATCAGAATCAAATCAGGACTTGTGAATCATCAGTCTTAAACATGTTCGCATTTTAATAAACCCTTCCTTTTCTAATGGTCTCCTTTCAGAGGTTTCAGTAATACAGAGACGTTGTGCAGTGAATATAAATATTACTGTGAGGAATGCAGAAGTAAACAGGAGGCACACAAACGGTAAGCATGCATTCATATCTGTCAGCTGCTTCCTAATTTTTCTTTTTTTTTACTGGATATACTGGATTTATGAATGTGCTTGTTGTTTGACTCTAGAATGCGGGTTAAGAAACTTCCCATGATCCTCGCCTTGCACTTGAAGAGATTTAAATACATGGAGCAGCTGCAGCGCTACACTAAGCTAAGCTACCGTGTGGTCTTCCCTCTGGAGCTCCGCCTCTTTAACACCTCTGGTGACGCCACCAATCCCGAGAGGCTTTACGACCTGGTCGCTGTGGTGGTGCATTGTGGCAGGTGAGTCAAAGCAGGTTTGAACGGTGATCAGAATGGCTTGATAAGGGACAGAGATGTTGGGGTGTGCTTGTAAATTATTTTAGCATATAAAATTTACAGCTGTGAGTTTCAAATGGCTTTTGATATTCAGTGTAACATATTATATAAAAAAATAATGGCGTACTTATTTTTTTTCTGTACTTGTTAAACTTTGAAAATGACAAAACAAATTTGGATTAAATATACTTTTAATGCTATTACCCTTTCACACATTTGATCACACCAGTGTGATCAGTCTTGGCTTGTCCCAAGCAAGTGTTCAAGCATACAAGAACAATTCTAACATTAAAATGCATGTCGTCAACTGCTAAATTAAAATCTTCACGCTCATGCTGAGGCATAGGACGAGGAGCACAGTGTTGGTAATTTATCAATCAAATATTGTCAAACAAATAACACTTATTTTACGCTTCAGACATTCAAAAACTCACAAGTGCTAATAAAGCATGACATTTATGGTTTGTAAAATACATGCTGATCTCTATGGAGAAAGCAATAATATTTTTTTTAAAAATATACTGTAATTGGAAGATGTAATTTATTCACGTAAGATACAGGCACGTTATATTACTCTAGAACATGCTTGCATTTTTGCACAGTGGTCCCCTCGCTATAATGCGGTTCTCCTTTCGCGGTCTCGCAATTTTTTTTTTGTGCAATTTAGCTTTTTTATTTTTTACAGCACATTGTGTTCTTTGTCCTGATCGGCTGTAGACCACTGTCAATCAATCTCTTTTGTGCCTCATACAGTATAGAATGCATTCCACTTGCCAAATTAACATAAATCTTTGAACGCTAGCAGTGCGCTATGCACCATGCAAACATAGTTTTCAGGGTACGCACACTGTCTTTGTTTACTTCCAACTGTCATGTGCACGACACATCTGCTGTGACCCCCTTAAGGATAGAGTCTGCTTTTGCTTTGTGGATCAGTGACTGCAGGAAAAAGAACATTATGCTGGACGCAAATAGTATCCGCACTAAAGCTAAAAAGCTTTTTGAAAACTTTGCTGAAAGCAATGAATGTTTACGCCTGACAACATGTTTTTTCTTTGGTTTAATTCTATAACACTGGACTTAATTTTCTATGAAAGTTTGACATTAGAGAGTGTTTAAACTGAGAGAAAAGTGTATAAAGTGTGTAGTGAGGGCTTTTACAGCCTTAAAACATCTATAGTAATTGTAAAATATAAAGCTGTCTACTTTGCGGATTCCACCTATCCCAGGCTATTTTTAAAACGTAACTCCCGCAAAATTTGAGGGACAACTGTATTTCATGAGAAAATGAAGAACTATCATTTTGTAAATCCAGCAGCTATAATCTATCCTGCAGCATAGATTAAATAAGTCATAGATTTGAAAAAAAAATATATATGATAATTATTAAACCGTTTAAACGCTGGAATAAATGTTCTCACACACATTTGAGAGTTGGACTATTAGATATTTTACAACATAAATAAGACTATTGTCAGTATTTGCAGAAAAAGGAAAAAGAATGAAAACACAATACAGTATATACATAATTCATTGAGGCTCTGGTGTCTGGCGTTTCGCCATGAAAATTTAAAGCTATGCATTCTGTATAATAACAGTCTCTTAAACTCTTGCAGAGGGGTCAGTCTGTGTTTTTACAACTTTTGTAGAAAGGGTAAAATGAAAAGAATAATCAGATTTTTTGGCTATATAAACCATTGTTACTTTGCATGACATAATGAGTTCTTCAACTTCTTTTTTATATATGACAGTAAAACATCTGTTAGTCCTTTGTTTGTTTAACAGAAGGTGCACAACACTAAACCAAACAGGTCTTGTCACTTACAGCTCTTACATATTGTTGGTTTTCTGGTGATTTGAACAGATTTGTAATGTGAGAAAGCAAAACCCTTTATAAATGCTTTTTGTCCTGCTGTGATTGTGATTTCACAATACCCAAACAGAATCTTTTCATGCAAGATTGAAACTTTTTCTTGAAAAAGGAGAACTGTTCTGATTTGCTTCCTTGATTTGTGACTTAATGATGTGTGTGTGTGTGTCTGATTCACAGTGGTCCAAACCGAGGACACTACATCGCAATTGTAAAAAGTCATGATTTCTGGCTACTGTTTGATGACGACATTGTAGAGGTAAGTTGACATCAGTCACGTATAATAGCATCTGTTATTCTCAGAGAAATGTGCAAGTTTGGGGATCTAGGAGTTTGAAATAACAATTGGCAAGACTGGTACTTAAAATAAAAATCTATTTATCTCTAAAAAATGCTTTCTAGGAGTAAAACATTAAAATACAATCTAAAATGATTTTTGAATAGTTAATTATAAAAGAAAAATTCACAAATCAAGAAATGCATGCACAAAACTGTCATAAACCTGTTTACGAATGAATGCCATTGATAAATAATAAACTATATAAATATGCAAACTCTCTCACTCACAATAGTTATTTTAACGGTGCCTCACTACAAAAAGGTCACTGGTTTGAGTCCCGGCTGGACCAATTGGCATTTCTGTGTGGAGTTTGCATATTGGTGTGGGTTTCCTCCAGGTGCTCTGGTTTCCCCCAAAGTCCAAAGACATGCACCATAGATCACAGGTGTCAAACTCCGTTCCTGGAGGGCTGAAGCGCTGCACAGTTTAACCCATTATTAAATGCACCTTATCAAACTAATTAAATGCTTTAGGCTTGTTTAAAACCTACAGGTAAGTTCGTTGCAGCAGGGTTGGAAATAAACTGTGCAGAACCGCGGCCTTCCAAGAACTGAATTTGACAGCCCTGCTATAGGTGAATTGTATAAACTAAATTGGTCGTTGTGTATGTGTGTGAATTAGTGTGTATGGGTGTTTCCCAGTACTGGGTTGTGGCTGAAAGGCCATTCGCTGCGTAAAACGTATGCTGTAATAGTTGGCGGTTCATTGCGCTGTGGTGACCCCTAATAAATAAAGGACTAAGCCGAAGGAAAGTGATTGAATGAATTTATATATATTGACATTGTGCATTTAGGCCACACCCTCTACATTGACTTTGTATTGGCGGGAAGCTGCCTACTTTGTCATTGTCATACAAGCTGTCATGTGACATGGTGTACAAAAAAAACCTTAAAACTACATTTTTATAAGCTACCAAACCTAAAGGGCAGCCCTAAGTGAAACAAAAGTGGATACAGGTAGTAGACATGAAGCATCAGGAGGAGGAATAGGTGGATTGTTTGTTTATGTGTGGCGTGAACATTTTGTCACTGGAAAGTCAAACATATCAGTTTTATATTGTATATTTCTGTAAGCTAAGCTGTAGTGTTTTTGACAGTATGTAACTTCTCAGAATGTAGATAAACCAGAACACTGTGCAAGTTACGCCATGTTTTCGAGTGCCATAGGTAAAGTAGCTTATAGCTAGCAACTAGTCCAACCATCATTTTAGTTTCAAACTAAATCAAATAGCTGTAATTATTGTAGTATTTCACGTCGGGCTGTCGAATCGAATGATTTATCTAACACAAGGAAGATTAAAGGGTACTAACCATGACTAATATAATTTAGTTTCTGTGTATATCTCCACTCAGGTACACATAAAGTGACCTCTTTTAGATATTGTTCTGTTTTTTTTAGCTGTTAGGCTTAGTTCACAGAACGTTTCTTAACCCACAACTGCTATCTGAGAGTGAAGTCTTTTAAAAAGCATGTTGTAAAATAAGTAACAAGATATGTAAATCAAATAATATAGTTTTATAGGGAATATGCAGTGCTCAGCATAAATGAGGATCCTCCTTGCAGATCTCTCTTTTAAATAACTATTTTCGAAAGGATGCTTTGCAATAATATATTTGTTCATATACATTAGATCAGTCAGAAGCAAAGCTAAAACTGAAGCCAATCTAACAAAAAAAGATCACAGTCCAAAAATTAGGACACCCAAATTAATATATTTGTGGAAAAATATGTAAAATTTTAATAAAGAGAAAAAAAAAATGTTAGATCAGGATTTCTCAACCACGGTTCTGGAGAACGACCAAGACTGTATGTTTTTGATGTCTCCTTTGTCATTATAGGTCTATTAGTCTCTACTAATGAGCTTGTAATCTGAATCAGGTGTGTTTGGTTAAGGAGATATGGAAAATGTGCAAGGCTAGCGGTTCCCCAGGAACATGGTTAAGAAGCACTGTGTTAGATGACCAAGCTCTTATTTTAATGGCTGTAACTGCTTGATAAAACCGTTTAATAAGTTTTGTTTATTCATTCCTTTTCTTTTTGGCTTAGTCCCTTTATTTATCAGGGGTCCCCACAGTGGAATGGACTGCCAACTTATTCAGCATATGTTTTACGCAGCGGATGCCCTTCCAGCTGCAACCCATCACTGGAAAACACCCATACACTCTCATTCACACACTCATACACTACGGACAATTTAGCTTACCCAAATCACCCATAGCGCATGTCTTTGGACTGTGAGGGAAACCGGAACACCCGAAGGAAACCCACACGAACACTAGGAGAACATTCAAACTCCACACAGAAATGCCAACTGACCCAGCCGGGGCTCGAACCAGTGACTTTCTTGCTGTGAGGCGACAGCACAAGTTTTGTTTAAATGCACCAACATATATTGTCTATATTCGTTGAGAAATAGATGAAAATATTCATTTTTGAAAGGCAGGTGTACTCAGTTATGCTGAGCACTGTATATTTTTCTATAAATGCTTGGTTTCAAAGAATTAAACACGCTAGATTGGGTGTTCAAGCTTAAATATTCACTTTGTTTTACAGATATGAGAATCCAGATAATTGCAAAACAATCTTTCTATCTTTTGTTTCTCTTTGTAGAAAATCGATGCCCAGGCGATTGAAGAGTTCTACGGATTAACCTCGGAAATTTCCAAGAACTCTGAGTCCGGCTACATCCTGTTTTACCAGTCCAGAGACTGAGCGCGGCCTGAGTGAGGCCAGAGTGGCGTCCCGTTACGGACACCTGTGCAGCAGCAGCGGCGGTGGCACGTCTGTGTGCAGAAGAGCCTGCAGCGGCGCCTCCAAACACACACACCCAAACCCCACCCGTCCCAGCCCTCCCTCGCCGACCTCCACGCAGCAGCAACGTTGGACGCGATGCGGTCGCAAGGCCTTTTGAACGTTGTTTGTCAGTTGTATTTACGTTGTGGGAGCGTTTCATCACTCGTGTTCAGTCCTTTACTGTAGAGAGAATGTGTTTTAATGTGACAGACTGGGATTTGCATTCAACTTTCATGCTGCGACCTTTTGATTCCTGTGGCTGTGAGGAGGCTGAAGACATGTGCATGGGGGGAATAGCGGGTGTGTTTATTAAAGCGGCGGGGAGGGTCTAAACGCTCCGGGTGCGGGGCATTGCGGGTTATGTATTTCTACCTTGTACAGAGTGATATTTGTATAAATATTATGAGAATTATAATAATATTACTGATATAGCCAAAAAAAGAGGATAGAACCAGAAAAAGATGTATAACACTATGGTGCACTTTTGATACAGTTTTGTAGATGTTGGAAGGTTCATGTGAGGGTTTGCTTGAGACGGCCTGTTGTGAAATTATCATTTTCTGTTTTAAAGAAAAAGAAATAAAAGTGTATACACCAAGATAGGATGTATGCATGCAAGCATGTACATACCAGCTATTTCCAGCCTGCTGCGATTTGATTGGACGCGTCTTTCACACAGCCAGGCCTTGATGACTCATTCTTGGTCACTGTGGCCCCTCAGTGGCCGCTCACGATTACTGCAAGATGGAGATGGACTGCATCCTACAGTCCTTTCACGACCAGTTACTTTCCTCATTTCTGCTTTCTCTGTGAATCTATTTCTGGGCTGCCTAAAGTTTCTCTTATGAAGGGCCAAAAACCAAACTTGCTTGAGGCTAGTGGCCTCAGGTAAACCTCAGGTCTCAGTATGCCGAAGGTAAATATATCTTTCATGGGTAATTTACTTATCTGTTTTATAATGTTTAAAAATAACTAAAAAAGATGGCTTTAAATAATAACTTATACAGTTTTATTTTTACATTTTATAATGAACTTTTAGTTAAAACAAAAACAATCTCATTTATAACAGAATAGAGTTACACTTGTTTTTGCCTTGACTTATTTACCAATGTCTTCTGCACAGTCTGGTATCTGTCAAATGACAGTATTTACATTTTAAAAATCTGACTTATTTAAATGAAGCTTTTGATTTCAGTTTGCTTTATAGTATCTCAGCAATAAAACAATCAAAAAAGATTACGTCAAATTAGACATGATGAAAGGCGATCTCCCTAACCCTCTCCATCATTCTCACTCTCTTCTCAGATGGGTTAGAGGGCCAAATCAAAGGTTACAATATAGTCTAACTTTGGGCTGGGAATCTATTTTAGACGTCAAAACCTTTCCATTGTCCAACATTTATCTGCTGAAAGGATTTTCAGAGGCATTTTAAAATTATTATTCAGTTATTTTCCCTATCATGTCAAATGCTTACATTTATCATATTACTTCAATCTGAATATTCTCTATTCCTCTACAGCTATGGAAAAAAGGAAACCACTTGGTTATTCTCAGATTTATAATTTACAGTTGTGCAAGAGTTTTGTTTTATTTTATGCTGATGACATTTTCATAATCATTTTTGTCAACCCAACACCAATTCTTTAACTTCAGGAGTGTAATAATAATCACTCTAAATGTAATTGAAATGATATTTAGAAAATGTTATCAGACTTTTTAGATTAAAGAAATGTTAATACATATATATATATAGCAAATCAGTAAAACTTACAAAATGACTAAAGTTGGAATATCAAAGCACATTTGGGTCCTTATCTGGATTTGGCTTTCCCAACAAGAAAGCTTGTTGGTCCCTGAAGTTCTTTTCATATCTTTTTATATATATATTAATCTTTAGTTAAGCAAAAACTTACATTTTAATCGTCGAAGCTGCAGCACAGCAATTTTTTTGGTCCTAACAAGATCATTCTCGAGCGTGTAGAAGTTCATTCAGTCAGTAAAGGCGCGAAACCAACCAAAACAATAAACGGAGTTTTCAGCGGTGACTAGTCTAAGCGCATCTCATTGGCTGCTTCGTTCATACTTGCAATGTGAATGTCTGTGATTGGTTAGAAGGCTCAGCGCTGCAAATAAACCACTATAACGGACTTGAATGAGGTGAAATGGCCGTGTTATTTCATTTCACGTTTCACTTTACGGCGACATGCATAATAGTTGGGTAAATAGTTCAAGAACATTTTTTGCCCCTAATATAGGCTATAATTTAAGATGCTTTTTTAAAAGCACTGTTCATTGACACAGATTCAGAATTTTATTAAATTAGCATAAACCATGATTATAACCGATATTTATTAACCCTAAACTAGTCTCTCCCGCTGAGCCTCGTTTCAGTCTGGAAGTAGCTCTGTTTTATCATCCGTCATCATCACTGACTGCGCAGTTTCGCCTATGAGGAGGTGAAGAGAGAGTCTGTCTGGGAAAGAGAAAGGCATGGATGAAGACTGCTCGGGTTAGAGGATGGAGGAGAGGGAGGAGAGGCAGTGGGGGAAGTGGGTGACACAGATGAGCATGCTGTTAATAGCACGAGCCCAGAATAGCTCTCACAGGGGAGCGACACAATGTGCATCTTTCCAGAAAGATGCAGGCTGCATATCAGATGCGAGACAAATGGGTCTCTCTCTACACACACACACACACACGTCGCAATACCTTCGAGGTCAATCAAAATCTATTTGAAGTTGTGGCTTTCTTTTTAAAGTAAAATGCTTTCTTTACAATTCTATTATAAGAGAATGGCTTTGTTCAATACAGTGTTTGATTGTGTTCTGCAGGATAAATATGCTATTGGTGCATCCAAAAAATGCTTAGTTGTGCTCTAAATTGCTTTATAATAATAATAATAATAATAATAATAATTTATTTTAATGGCCATGCATGGTGAGGGGCTAAAAATATTTGAGAACAGCTGGTTCATTAAAAAAAACACAGAAGAAGTAAAACAGCATGTGTTCAATTTTACAAAAGTAACTATAACCACTTGAACAGTTTTTACAAATGTGAGTTACATACAAAATTGTAAAAGTTTTTTATTTTAATGAAAAAAAATAATCATTTAAAACAATTATTATTACTTGTATATCATCCGAGTGTCATCAGGAGAAATTGTCTTTGGAGGGTAGCATTTGCAATGTTATTTTAAGTGTTAATGCACAATTTTGCAACTTTTTAAATTTGAAAACACACACAAACACACACACACACACACACACACACACACACACACACACACACACACACACACACACACACACACACACACACACACACACACACACACATAATACATATTAAAAGAAGAATGCACAGTCTTCCCAACCAGAATTAGGCCAAACAATAAGTACATTACAATAAGGATTGATTTGTTTGGTACAGTAAATAGCTGGTTTGTCTTTTATCTTGCTCACAGCTGTCAGTTTGTCTGTTTGGGTGCTCGTAGATCTCAGACTGTTCCATTGCATCAGGGTGTTCCTCAGGGGTCTGTCCTTGGTCCACTGCTGTTAAGTAATTATATGTTGCCTCTTGGCCAGATTATGAGTAAATATTGCTTGGGGTACCGCTGCTATGCAGATGACACTCAAATCTATGTTAGTGCTCGCTCAATCTGAACACTGCTACGTCAGTTTTATCTGCCTGTCTCTTATAAATTAAATCTTGAATGAGTCAAAACTTCCTTAAATTAAAAGGTTCCAAAACTGAGGTCTTATTAATTGGCACCCCTATTAAGGTTATGCAGTACAAGGATTTTACACTCGATTGATATTGTTCAACTGTCTCCTTCTACCCAGGTGCATAATCTTGGGGTGCTCTTTGATGCAAAGCTCAGTTTTAACTCCCACTTCAAACACTTAAGAAAAACTGCCTTCTTTCATCTCCGCAATATTTTACGAATCAGACCATTTCTCTCACGACCTGATGCAGAGAGGCTTATCCATGGCTTCATCACATCACATCTTAGTTTTTGTAATATATTTTTTGATAGTTTACCTACAAGTTCTCTCAGAAGACTACAATATATATAAAAATTAAGCTGCACGGGTTTTGACATACACATCATCACGCCACCATATTACTCCTATGCTACAACAATTACACTGGCTTCCTATTAGATCACGGATTGATTTTAAGACCTTGATTTTAACTTTTAAAGCAATGCATGGGTTAGCACCAAGCTACATCTGTGACCTGGTGACCCTCGCCTACCCAGCCTGCAGTCTTGGTTCTGCATCGGGACTTACCTTCCATCAGCCATGGTGTAAACTCAAGACCATGGGTGGGAGGGCTTTTTCACACAGTGCGCCTAAGCTTTAGAATGCACTACCCATCAGCATTAGGAATGCCGCCTCTCTGGACTGTTTTAAGAAACTTCTTAAAATTCACCTTTTTAGCTTTGCTTTTAACTTAGGATGATCATTTCGTTAACTTTTTTATTCTATTATATGGTTCATATTTTTATTGTTTTATTGCATCTTTTATTGTTGTGCTGTTTTGCTTGCCTTGTGTTGCTAGTATTTTGCCTGTAGCAAATAAATTTATTATTATTATTATTATCTCCCTTGCCGGTCTCTGATCCCACGATACTATTTCCGAACTTATTTAAAAGTACAGAACATTAGTTTCACTTTAAATTTCACTCCCTACATATTACTCCCTTACCCTACAAGAAATGTCCTAATTTCTTTAACACAGTTCAGCACAAAACTGTATATATGCTTAACATACAGAAACAATGTTACCCAAAACTGTATATAAAAAAAATCTTATACTTTCAAAAGCATGTTTAACCATGAGCAATAGCCCCATGCAGAGACTATCCAAGGCACTTGGATATGGGGCACTTCAGATGATTTTGGAAGGGCACTTTTTATCCAAGACTAAAAAGGGCATGTGCACTACACAGGTTGAGCCCTATGTGTGCACGTGCCTGATGAACAACATAATTCACATAGCACCACAAGGCATCAGTATATGAAAAACAGGTACAGATAATTGAAAAAATCTCAGTAAAGTGCAAAATCTTTTAAATTGTAAGGCAATCGATTAATCCTAGAAAGTAAATTCCATATAGCCACCAGAAAGTCTAGTGATAAGGAAACACCTATTGACAGTCCCGTGTCAGGTGTTCTCTGAGTTTGAGGTGACAGTCCTGAGTTCAAGCTCTGGCCATTTTCCATAGGTCTGAAAGATTGTAGGGTTTCAGGTAGGCGCGATTCTGGCTTTGGTTGTAACTGAGGAAGTTCCAATGGAACTAGAATTGTAGGAAGTCCTGGTGGCGCAGGTGTAATGAGCGGTGGTAGGAGCCCTGACAATGTATTAAGAGTTTATGGCTGAGGGGGAGGGGGTAAAGGGTATGAGTGTTCTGCATGTCAGTAATGTACGGTTTCATGCAGTTGTAATGAATTATTTTTGCATTTGCATGAGGTTTAGATACATCACGGACTTCAAAATTAACTGGGGTGGAACTACCAAAGGGGTATATGGATTGTAAAATCTCGTATGGGCCTACCCCACATGGATGCAGTTTGTTGTGGCGGTGTGCAG